GCTGTGTGGGGTGGGGTGGGGGGCTGTGAGGATGGGGTGAGGGGCTGTGTGGGGTGGGGTGGGGGGCTGTGAGGATGGGGTGGGGGGCTGTGAGGATGGGGTGGGGTGCAGCCCAGAGGCTCTTTCTGGGTGGAGGAAGCTGTAAAACCATTAGCAACTGTGATTGTTAACTTGTTTCTGTAAAACTAGAATAAAATGGGACATGGCCTTGTGTAGCCTGTGCTGCCCTGGACCTCACAGTGCAGTCCAGACTGAACTTGCAGAGATCCTCCTGCCCTGCCTTACAAATGCGAGGATTACAGGACACGCCATCACGCCTGGCACATCCCAGGAGCAACTGGAAAGCTGACACAGCCACAACAGTCACTAATAAATATGGGTGGCTTTTCACACACAGGCAAAGCAACATGAAAAGGATGGGGGTGGGGGCGGTGGAAGCGCAGCTGAAGACCTCAGCATCTGGGCCGCTAAGCTCTGGGCTGCTCCTCCTGGATAAGGTCCCTGGCGCCCTGGAGGGAAGGGACCACAGAGGACCAGAGCGGACACCGGGCACCTGGTTCTTAACCTCACGCACTTTCCACACTGTGTTAGTTCTTTACTTTTGTGAAAAGGAAAACAGCTCTCTGGCTCCTCCTCGGGAATTCATTCTGAGTTTTAACACACTTGACATGTGTCGAGATGCGCATGCCTGCTATCTATGCACACACCCGAGGGATGATACACTGACCCCCAGGAGGTCAGGGGAATCCCTGGACACCACCCCAACCAGCAGGCGGCGGTGGCCTCGAAGCCAAGTGCGTCTCTCATCATGGGCAGCCCTAGCCTCAACCTGGAATGTTGGATCCAGGCAGAAAGAGGTGTGTTTCCTTACATAATTTTATTATTTCTGGGGAGAGAATCTTTCTGGTTCTCTCTTCAAGGACTTGTGAAAAGAAGCACAGGCCCTGTCCTAGTTAGGGTTTCTATTGCTGCAGCGAAACACAACCACAAAGCAACTTGGGGATGGTATGTTTATCCAGGCTTCACTTCCATGGCACTGTTCATCACGGAAGGAGGTCAGGACAGGAACTCACACAGGAACCTGGAGCAGGAGCTGAAGCAGAGGCCATGGAGGGGGCTGCTCACTGGCTTGCTCCCATGGCCTGCTCAGCCTGCTTTCTTATAGAACCAGGACCACCAGCTCGGGGATGGCTCCGCCCACAAAGGCGGGGCCTCCCCATCAATCGACAATTAAGAAAATGCTGTACAGGCTTGAGACAGCCTGGTCTTAGGAGGCCTCTTCTCAGTTGACGTCCCCCCTCTCAGATGACACTAGAGTGTGACAGACTGACATAAAACCATCCAGTTGAGAGATTCACACGGCCCCACAAGGAAGTGGCTGTCTTCTATTGCTTGGGTAGAACAGTTTAACGTCTGGACATGGTTCAAGTCAGTGCTACGGTAACCGTTAATGAAACAACTACTATTTAAAACATACTTTATGGCTACAGCCGCTGAGTGGGGGTTGAGTATCCTCCTCCTCCGTGTACTTCCTCTTGAAGTGTGTGATGTTGGGTGTGCTTACAGGACTCGGAATTCCCCTGTCATGGGACCCTGTGGTGACAAATCAGACAGACAATGACTCGAGACCTGCCAGAGGTTCTCCAAGCAAAATCCCTTCATTTCCTTTCTGTCTAGTGGATGAGTTGGCTACATCCCTGTCTGTACACGCAGCGATGGAAAACAAACATTTGTCTTCATACTTGCTATCGGATGGACTCCTGCGAGCCCGGGAAGGTAGAGATTTGCCAGGCAGTGTTAGAGGGGACGGCACCCTCCTTTCAGCATTTACTAAGTGCTTGGAATCCTAACTCTGCACAGGCCGACAGCAGAATCCTCGGGTTGGCAGGGGGTGTGCCCTCTCTGAGGCAATACTGGCATTTACTCAGGCACCTCACCCAGGCAGTGAACCATGAAGACAGGTCACCCTCAGAACGGGAGACAAAGGCATACCTGCACTCAGGGGTTACAAAGGCTTTTCTCTTAAAACACGAAGTTAAATGCTAAGGTTTAAAATTTATAGTAATTAAATTCTATTTCCATCCTTTGAGGGCTTTAAAACCTTTTCAGGAACCAGATTTTCATGAATTTCATATATTTCAGTTTCTTTAAAAAAGAAAAACCAGACCTATCACTGAAGAAAAAGTCAGAGGAACTTATTTGGGTCTATTAGAACTGAAGTCTAAAGGAATCTATTTCTATTTTCTTGTCAGTGTGTGGCCCATGAAGAGAAGCAGCTTGAAGCTGTGGCATGAGGCGCACTGTAGGCCAGGGCTCTGCTGTGGAGCTGTTTGTGCATGCCAATGGTCCATTCACTCCACGGGACAGAGAGCCCAAATGTAGACTTTCAGTCCCTAGCTCAGGCCCTGGAAAGAAGCTTCTGAGCTATCCACAGCAGGGGATGGCGCGCATCCGCATTTCAGCAGGGGTCCCAAGCAGCCCAGCCCCTCTGGGGAGAAGGCAGTACCTGCCGGTTGTGGGCTGGCTCCCCGGTCTCCCTGTGAAGGACCCTGTGCTGGTCCTGGGGGACTCGCTCCTCTGTAGCTGTCAGCCTCCCATAGCGTTTGGTACCCGGCAATTTCAGCAGCTCCTTCTGAGACAATGGGCTCGCAGAATCTATTCATGGACAGAACCAGCGTCATCTCTGACAGCCTTGGATCTGGGGAAAGAAGGAGGGGGTTGGGGTAAAGCCCTGAGGAGGTCTCAGCATCGTTCTGTGCTTGAAGAAACTTTTACTTCCTGTCCCCCCCACCACAAACCATCTGATTATTTTTCCAAGGAGACCTTAGCAAGCTCTTGCTGTTTGCTCAGCCACTGAGCTCTGCAGCCTGCATTTCAGAGCAGATCTTTCCAGGCCAGTCCTTACCAGATCCCCTCAGCCTCTCTCAGACAGCTGTTCCGCCTTGCAAATAAATTTTCCTCCTGACCTTTCAAATGTACCCTAAGAGGAAGGGCCAGATCCCCTCAGCCTCTGCTGTTAATAAGGTGAAATCAATTTTCTTTCAAGCCCCTAGGAAAGAGACCCTCTGATGAGACAACAGGGGGTGGGGGAGGCCTCCCCAGGGCCCTCCCAACACTTGGCAAGGCTAAGTCCCTTCCCCAGGCTCTCCTTTCTTCCCAGCTCCTCTTCTGCTCAGGACTTCCCCCACTCTCTGCTCCCAGGGTGAGGCAGACAGTTTCCACAGCCCTGATCGGCCTGAACTGGATCTGCCTCCAGTCAAAACACTGCGAGATGAAGACAGAAAATTGGCTCCAGTTTCCAGCCGTGAGCTGCAGTCCCGCAGGAGCCAAGCACAACACCAACCAAGCAGCAGAATATTAAACAGGAGCCAGGGCTGGGGCAGAGGCAGCCAGCAACTCTAAACTGCAAAGCCAGATGCAAGGCAGGAACTTTCCAAGAGTCAACATATCACTGCCCTCCTCCTCTCGGTTCTGCCCTGACCTCAGACCTCCGGCTCTCTGTGCTGCTCCCAGACTCTGACCCTATGTAATCCAGGCTATGGGGCCACTTCCAATGCGGCCCACTGTTGACACTCAAGGCAGGATTAAGAGGAACTGTCAGGAGAAAAGAGGCCAGGACGCCTCCTGGCTAGGGCAACGGTCACTTGTCGCCGTCTCACAGTGCTCCCCACGTGTTATGACAGCAGTGTGCGTCCAGGGGAAAGGGAGACTTAGCTTCAACAAGGTGGCAAAGTCCTCTGGCTGCCAGAGCAGATGCTGGCAGAAACTGCCTCTTGCCAGGCACCTGTGTTCTGGGACTCAGTCTCAGCCCTGCAGAAGACAGGGCAGGGTTTCTAATCAGGGTAGAATATGGCTGACTTTGGCCTCAAATCTACCCTTCCATTTTTCTTTCCAAAAAGATATCAGACATGCCTTAGGGAAAGAGGGTGTGAGGGTGTGTGTGTGTAAAATAATTCTCTATCAAGAAATGGTGAGAGATGTCATTTATTTCACTTTCACTCATCAACAAAGAAATGTTGTCTCCATTTAACAAACTCAGCGCTTTGGTCTCTTCCCCTCAAAGCCTGCAGCCAGGCAGAGAGTCCATAAAGACTCAGGAAGCCATCCCACATCTCAACCTTGTCTGAAAGACACCTGTACCCAGAAAGGCCACAGCTGGGATCAGACTGTGTCCCTTCTGACTGACATGCTCCTGCAGTGCATTCTGGGGAGAGGGCCCATGCCTTTGCCTGGTGGAACTTGTATGACATATAAACAGAAGCAGGTTGAGAAACCCATGCCCTGAAGAGAGAGAGGCGCTTCCAGGCCCCCGGCAGCAATTACCGCTGCTTAATAGGACATTAATGGGCCCTGGGCTCCTTTACCGTAGTCAGAGTTTGTTTATATTCTAATGACTTGGGGAGCAGCTTTCTGTTGTTAAGACTCTCAGGGCCTCTATTTGCTAGCGTTGTTTACAACATCTGAAATTCCATCATGCATTTGAACTTGAAATGTGGCATAATAGTTTGTAGCGTGGCTGTTTCTTCTGTTTACACCATCTAATTTCTGCAAGTTTTTCTTTTTCAAACTGGAAATGGTTTACACACAAGCTCCTAAGTGGGAGAGGCTTGGCTCTGAGAGTGATTTATTTAGGCTGGAATAAAACATGAATGAGCTGGAACTATTTGGGAGGGGGAGGAGAGTCTGCAATTGAGCCTTCCTGGTCTATTTAGAACTCACACTGATGGTAACCAATTAGAGGCACGCGTGTGTTCACAAGGCGCTGGGCTGAGCAAGCCGGGCACCCATGCAGTAAGCATGGCCCCTCCGCTGCGGAATCTAGAAACCTGAGTTCACAAACGCACCATGTTAATGAGAAACACAGCCACAGCGATGTGTATGGCGGCGACTTTAGGATCAGAAACGAGCGGATGAAAGCCTATAGTGTCACTGCACTAACTTGTAGCCCTCGGGCTCCTGTCAACTGTTCGGTCTCTGAGGTGACGCTGTGGAACGGCCCCTCCACCATCCTCTCGGCTGAAGGCTAAGTGCGAGCGTGTCTTCCCAGTGCTCCTCATGCAGGCGCTTCCATACCATTTGCTTTTCCCGGATGAAGCCACTGTGGTGCGAAAAGCAGTGGCCGCTGTGGCTCAGAGGCGCCAGGGACCCCACACGGGCTCCTGGACTTCACCGGCGCGGCGGGAGGCTCGTTCCTCTGCCTCCTGACACGGCGAATCAGAGCATTTTCTGTAAGGCGCCTCCAGGAAGATCAGCCAGAGCAGCTTGCGGTGACCGCTGCGGCCAGGAGAGCTGCAGTGCTCTGTCCTGGGGGCAAGCGACTTCCCCACGCATGCACTCCGCGCGGGCACCGCCAGCGTCTCAACAGTTCGTCCGGGTCACCCGATGGCGGAGGAAGGGGCTGGCTGCATAGAACAAAACCCTTCACGCCTCGACCCCGACAGGTGTCGCCTTTTGCAGGGCTCAGAGCAGGCCGCTGCGGCCCCCGGGAAGCGTCCTGGCCAGCGGCGGCCAGGAGGCCGAGCCCCCCGCCCGGGCTGGGGGCTGGGGGTGCGGGCGTGGGGGCCAAGGCGGCCGCGGTGCCCCACTGGGGGCTCCGGGGTCCGAGGCGGGGGCTGGGGGGCGACGGCTCCCGCAGCCAGGGTCCCGCGGAGACCCTGCAGACGGCCGCCGCGACCCTCAAGTCGGTCTCCTGGACAGAGGGCAGCGTCCGGCCAGCCGCGGGCCGCCGGGAAAAGTAAACAGCCCAAGTGTCTGGGAACAAAGGCAAGTTGTCTTCCAAGGTGCCGGGGCCCGGTGGCGCTCCTGACGAACAAGGGCCGCGATTCTTCGCCCGCTCGAAAACCCAAGTTTCCTTCTATGGGAAACGCACGCCAAGGCGGGATGCCAGGGCTGTGAGTCAGGCCGCACTCCAGCCGCGGC